CTAAGACATCGTGCATTCAGCAGGTCTATCTAAGACATCGTGCATTCAGCAGGTCTATCTAAGACATCGTGCATTCAGCAGGTCTATCTAAGATATCGTGCATTCAGCAGGTCTATCTAAGACATCGTGCATTCAGCAGGTCTATCTAAGACATCGTGCATTCAGCAGGTCTATCTAAATCTTACACCAGTTGAACCTTTTCGTTGGCACCGGTTCCTTTAAATATTCATATTTCATATTTCATAGGGATGATTGTGAGGAAATAACCAGGATACACACAGTCCTCGTTGACCTTTAGGATGTATCCCCTCAGATATAAGATAGTACCACGATGTCTTTTTAAAAAATGAGATACCCAGTTATTTTTTTTTTTTGGTGTTTTTTTTTTGTTTGTTTTTTTTAACTTTCAAATTTGGGGAATTGGTGGACACAATTTTCAAAATAATGACACCATGGACGGTTGCAAAAAAAAAAAGTTTTTGGGGGGTTTAAATCTGATCGTAGTAATATTAATTAATTTTGTGCGGTCCACTTTGAGAAACACTGTTCTAGGTGACAATTTCTTTTTTCTGACCGCCTCCCCCCCCTCCCCGCCCGATAACCACTGCACAAACACGTAAAGTAAGGATGCAGTTGTTAAGGGTATATCTAACTTAGCCGATTTTTATTCACCTGTTATGTGGTGGCATTTTAAATTTTGTATACGTTATTTGTTATTTGTTTTGTTTTTTTGTTTTAATCATCATCTGTGATTTTTTTTCTCCTTCAAACACCAAGATATTGTCAACTTCATCAAAAACAAACAATTCACAGACACTACAAAAAAGTAATTTATAAAGGCTACCAATTTAGCGGTAGGGTGTCTCTTTAAAAAAAAAAAAAAATTAAAAGTCCATAAAAAAAAGTGCATACATTGGAAAATCTCGTCGGATTCTGTGTCTGATTTTTTTTCCACATTCCTCCCACAACATACCCCAGCAACCTGTGTTTTTTATTTGCTTTATTCGCTGTGATTTAAACTTCTTTCACTAAGCAGCTTGCCATTTCTGACTTCAACCTCCAATCTTCTGTTCCCCAAAAAACCCTGCAATACTTAAAAGTGAGCCCCCACCCCACCCCCCACCCCCTCGGGCCCCTTTAACGTGATGGTCTGGCAGGTTCCAACCAACTCAACCACAGCGCTTAACAAGCTATGTGATCCTTTGTTCCAATGAACTCGGGGGCCTGTACTCCGACTCCTCTGAACCACGTCGGTGTGGCAGAAGACGACGGAATTCTCCGTCCAACTTAAGGTTAATTTCTCAGACTGGCAACGCGTCTAAACAAAGCTGAGGCGGATAAGGAGGGGGGGGTTTGGGGGTTGGGGGGGGGGGGCTCACCTACAACAGAACCTTTGGTGAGATATGACCTTCACCTATCCCTGGCCGGGGTTCAAAAACAACTTCGTCAAGAGTTCAGCAGCGCCTTGCTAGGTTAATTGCTCAGCCTGGCAACGCGTCTAAACAAAGCTGAGGGGGATAAGGAGGGGGGGGTTTGGGGGTTGGGGGGGGGGGGCTCACCTACAACAGAACCTTTGGTGAGATATGACCTTCACCTATACCTGGCCTGGGTTCAAACACAACTTCGTCAAGAGTTCAGCAGCGCCTTGCTGATGCTGGGCGGAGATAAGCCTGGGAGGGTGTTTTTTTTCGGATGGTGGGTAAAGGGGCGTGGGAGTATGGGTGAAGTGGCGTGGGAGTGTGGGTAGAGGGTGATGCAGGAGTGTGGGTAGGGGTGGGCGCGCAAGAAGGGGTGCAAAATAAAAACTTTAAAAATTTTAGATCATGACAGACTTTGCTTACTGAAATTAAGGAAGTGAAGTCTGTAATATGAATATAAACGATAGCAAGGGGGGGTCTGTACCATCACTCTGAAGGGTGGCATGGGGCGTTTGTACCATCAATCTGAAGGGCAGCAAGGGGCGTATGTATAATCAATCTCAAGAGTGGCAAGGGGTGCCTGTTTTCTCAATCTGGTTATGTGGCAAATGGGTTCTGTTCTCTCACCCTAAGGGGGGCCAGGGCGTCTGATCCCTTCATCTAAAAGGTTACAAGGGGCGTCTGTTCTCTCAATCTGAAGGGTGGCAAGTTGAGGGCAAGGAGTGCACATTCCTCTTTTGTCTCCTCGAATCCTACATAGCAGCTAAGTGTTTTATTTTATATTGTTTTTATTGTCGTTTGTTCGCCGGAGAAGGCTTCCTGTATGTTCTCTCAGTCTGAAGTATTGGGTCAGTTTAACTGTGCTTTTCATCTAACACCAATAAATAGATCGATATAAGACGGCGTATCAAAGTTCTGACGGTACAAGCTAGAAGTGTCAAATTCTGACGGTACATAGTGGAAGTATAAAAGTTCTGACGTTATATAGTGGAAGTTTCAAAGTCCTGACGAAACATAGTAGACGTATCAGAGTTCTGACGGTACATAGTAGAAGTATCAAAGTTCTGACGGTACAAGCTAGAAGTATCAGAGTTCTGACGATACGTAGTAGAAGTATCAAAGTTTAGACGAAACATAGAAGTATCAAAGTTCTGACGGTACATAGTAGAAGTATCAGAGTTCTGACGGTAAATAGTAGAAGTATCAAAGTTATGACGGTACAAGCTATAAGTATCAAAGTTCTGACGGAACATAGTAGAAGTATCAAAGTTTAGACGAAACATAGAAGTATCAAAGTTCTGACGGTACATAGTAGAAGTATCAAAGTTCTGACGGTGCAAGCTAGAAGTATCAAAGTTCTGACGGAACATAGTTGAAGTATTAAAGTTCTGACGGTACAAGCTAGAACTATCAAAGTTCTGACGGTACATAGTAGAAGTATCAAAGTTCTGACGGTACAAGCTATAAGTATCAAAGTTCTGACGGTACAAGCTAGAAGTATCAGAGTTCTGACGGTACATAGTAGAAGTATCAAAGTTTAGACGAAACATAGAAGTATCAAAGTTCTGACAGTGCAAGCTAGAAGTATCAAAGTTCTGACGGAACATAGTAGAAGTATTAAAGTTCTGACGGTACATGGTAGAAGTATCAAAGTTCTGACGGTACATGGTAGAAGTATCAAAGTTCTGACGGTACATAGTAGAAGTATTAAAGTTCTGACGGTACAAGCTAGAAGTATCAGAGTTCTGACCGTACATAGTAGAAGTGTGTGTTTCTACTTTTTTTGTGTATCAGATGTTATGTATTTTGTGGTTGTTAGTGTTGTTCTGTTGTGTGAATATCAATAACGCAAGTTTTTTTTTTTTCTGATATCGGTGGTGCTATGTTTTGCTGATATCATTGGTACTATGTTTGGAAAAGTACCTTGTTATCACCTCGGACTATCAATCGCGAACGACTCACGATACCCAATCTGTAATATCATATCAACCTGCACCACTAGTAATCACGACCAGCAGTTTGAGAACTACTGAATCGCAGGGCGTTGCCCTAGAGCGTTTGAGGTGTGGCTTCTTCTTCTCCGATAAACTATTTCTAGGGATTAAGAAGGGTTGGGGGGGGAGGGAAGGGGAGAGAGAGAGAGAGAGAGAGAGAGAGAAAAGATTGGGCACCATTTAATCCTTGAACCATTCATGTATACATGTCCGCGCAAGTTGTGTGTGTGTGTGACGCAATCTTTGAGAGGGATCATTCAATGGAATCTAGTTGTGCGATGATGTCCATGGAAACTTTGAAAATTTGGAGAACCGCTGGTGATGACTCAGCTAGTTCAACTCAGAAGCCCCGTTTATAAAGTGACGTGTCAAACAAGTTGTTGTTTGGGCCGCACCCCTATTTCGTTTAACAGAACAGCTTACAGCCTTTGCTATTGTTTGTTTGTTTTTGTTTTTTTTTAAACAGGCTTGTCATCCCCTTTCCCTTGTGATGCATGTGTGAGTTCCTAAATTATTCTAGACCAGGGCTTAACTGGTTCCGGGTGTCTTAAGAAAATAACAGCTGGGTCCAACCGCTACACACATAAAAAAAGAGTTAACTTGTAATTTTTCTATAATATGGAACGAAATCTATGTCATGGTCAGATTCAACCCCACCCCCCCTGCCCTCTTTAAACTCTAAAACCGTTTTATTTTCATCAATAACATTACCATCAAAGCCTATTTTGGTGCATCCAATAACGTCGCGCCATGGAACATCTGTCTTAACATTCCTCTTTAGCTCCAACTTATAGGGCAGGGCTGTTTTTTTCCTTTCTAAAAAGAAAGGAAAAATCCACATATTAACCGGAGTTCAGGCGTTACGTCACGCATGGAGTTCGCTGCGTGGCAGAGGAATGCGAATAAAAACAACACCGAATAATAGTTGCCTACGACTAAAGAAAAAAAAATCAAGCTATTTTCCGGAGTTCAGACGTCACGCTTAAGCTCGCTGCGTGACAGCCCTTTTTTTTTTTTTTACTCAATACCTTTGTTTGTTGGGGAGGGGGGGGGTTTTTGAAGAGGAAGTAGGATGCACCGGAGGCAAAATATATATAAGAGATTAATCTCGGCCCATATTGACCATTCGGCTGGTATCGAAATAATCATAAGTGACAGCCCTTTTTTTTTTTTACTCAATACCTTTGTTTGTTGGGGAGGGGGGCGGTTTTTGAAGAGGAAGTAGGATGCACCGGAAGCAAAATATATATAAGAGATTAATCTCGGCCCATATTGACCATTCGGCTTGTATCGAAATAATCATAACTATTATTTTCCTTCTTTGATTTCAGAAATTCTCGACAGTCAATAGTTTACTGTGACCAGTGCAAGAGAACACAGTTTGGTGCCTTCCTAGTTTCTAGCTCCACCCTCGCCAGCGGCACACATTCCTTCTGTTATCCAGACGTCTCCATCGCAAGTCGTCTGGAGAATGCCTCCAGCCCGCCACGTCACCAGCAGAATGCTATACATTTTCATCAGCACCTACCTTCTCTGCCCCGGGGCAGCCTCAGCTCAGAGAAGTCCTCACCAGACCCACCTGAAGAGGCCGCCCTCTTTCGCCTTCGCCGTATCTCTCGCCGGCAACAAAGGCGTTCGCGACGTCTCCGAGGAGGAGGGCGAGAAGTCTCTCATCGGCATCGTGGAGCTGAAGGTGCAAAGCGAAGGCCCGCGGAAAGAGGTCTCGTGCACTTCCGAGAATTCGTTCTTAGCCATCGAACCGATGGGCCCGGACTATTTCAAGCTGGAGCTGAAACAGCACCTGGACAGGGAGGTGCAGTCCGAGTACAGCGTCAACGTCACGTGCACCTACCACTCGGCGCCGCCCCTGGCTGACTGGAAAATCTTCACGCTCAGGGTCACGGACGAAAACGACAATGCCCCTGTGTTCAGCGAGACGATCTACGTCGGCAACGTGACGGAGGAGGCGAGCGTTGGAGAGTTTGTCCTGGAGGTCAAGGCCACGGATGCGGACGAAGGGGTCAACGGGGCGGTGACTTATTTCATGAAAGGTTTGGAAAATTTCCAACCCAAACCTTTCGCCATCGACGAGAAAAGTGGGAGGATAACGACGAACGTGACCATCGACCGAGAGACCGTGACCAATTTCACGTTTACCGTGGTAGCGGTGGACCACGGAAAGCCGGAAATGACGGGATCCGCCGTGGTCATCGTCCACGTAGACGACGTCAACGACAACGCACCGGTGGTCGTGACAAAAAACTTAAGAATCCTCGAAAACCTGGACGCCATGTCCTTGGTCGGGACACTACGAGGCTCTGACCTCGACATCGGGAAGAACGCCGAGCTGGTCTTCGCCAAACTGGACGGCGACAGTGACTCCTCCTCGACCCCGTTCCTGGTCAAGTCCAACGGCAGCGTGTGGTCGGTCGTCTCGCTGGACAGGGAGCAGAGGTCGCTGTACTCCATGGCCGTCACCGTGCGAGACAAAGGCCAGCCCCGACGGTCGGGCACCGCCGTCATCCAAATCACCGTCGACGACGTCAACGACAACCCCCCGGCGATCTCCAGCCCGTGTCTGACGGACGGGATCGACTTCTTCCTGGACACCAGCTACTACCTCGACAACGAGACGCTGTACTCGGGCAGCGGGTTCGTGGTCATCGACTGGCACTGCCCGGAGGGGGAGAGGGTCGTGTACCAGGCGGAGGCCAGCGACAAGGACAGCGGCGACACCGCGAGACTCACCTACGGCCTGGACGACGGGCTCGAGGACGCCCTGTTCCAGATCGACAAGAAGACAGGGAGCGTCACGCTCAAGCGATACGTCCGCCCCGACGACAGTCTGTCCCAGCTGGTTAACATCAGCGTGACGGATCACGGCGTCCCGCGCCTGACGTCGTACTGCGCTCTCAACATCACCATCAACATCGACCGGTCGGCGCTTCAGCCACCGCCGAGCACCTCGGTGTTCGCACAAAGTTCCAACGGCAATTCGACCAACGCCGCCCCTGGTGGAAAATCCGAACTTCCGGTCGTCTTACTGTTGAAGTTATTGGCCCTGGCTGGTCTTTGGATGAGTTTTTCCTGTCTCAGTCAAACATACTAAAAAAATGTTTAAATAAATGAAAGACAAAACCAATATTTTCATAGACCTGACTGGAGATTGCAAAATGTCAATCGAATAATTAATTCGCCGATGTATGTTATATACTCTTGTGTGTGTTCAGTTCTAACAAAAGGGGTGCCATTTTCTTTCCTTAAACGAAAGAAGGAACACTGGACTAAACCCCCCCCCACAACCCCCCCCCCCCAAAAAAAAAAATGGATACCTTCTAAGGACTTCCTTGTCTGTTTAGGCTATGCATTGAACGAAGGCTTAAGTTATTGCTGTACGATAACTGGACTCCTCGGTCATTGCATATTTAACAATGGATAATATAGATGACTGAGGAAGTTGTTCCGTGAAAGAATGATTTGAAGAAAAAAAAATAATCAGGTGAGCGATGATTTCCAGTCACCCTACTTGACTTAAAATGCCATGAAACAATTTTTTATATATTATATATTTTTTTTTTTTAAATGCAGCGAAACGCACTTCGTTTGTCGTTTTTAGTTGTTCTCGTGTTGACAGTGTCTTATGAACACACAGCAGCATGGCAGACGCGGATGGCGTGTCTGCTCTACGGAAAAACTTAACTTACTGCGCATGATTAGCTGCGCATGATTGATGGCTGCGCATGATTGATGGCTGCGCATGATTGTTGGCTGCGCGTGATTGATGGCTACGCATGATGGCTTGATGCATGTAAGGGCACGCATGCTTATAAGTGACTGAGATTCCACTCAATAATAATGTTATGCTTAGAAGTTAAAAGTGACTTATCGAAATAATGGAAATGTAAGTTTTTTTTGGTTTGTTTTTTTTTTTAATTCGTAAATTGCATGGGTTAATTTTTTTTAAAATCATATTATTTTCATAATTATTATTTTGCATTATTTACAAATAATTATTTCAATAAATTGCCTGGATAAAGATTGCGAATGATCCATGTGTGTTTTGATATTTAAAAAAAAAAAACATCTAAAAAAATGGAGTGCATTTGAGGTTGTTATATTTTTGATTAGCTGGTGTGAGATTTTTTGGTTTGTTTTTTTTTTTAATTCGTAATTTGCATGGGTTAATTTTTTTTAAAATCATATTATTTTCATAATTATTATTTTGAATTATTTACAAATAATTATTTCAATAAATTGCCTGGATAAAGATTGCGAATGATCCATGTGTGTTTTGATATTTAAAAAAAAAAAAACATCTAAAAAAATGGAGTGCATTTGAGGTTGTTATATTTTTGATTAGCTGGTGTGAGGTGACACGGTGTATAAAACTTAACCGTGGATCAATTTTGGCATTGTACTGATGTGTCTGGGAAAAGTAAGGCGCTCATAACGCCAGGTTACTTTTAGAACAATAATTAGGCCCTTTTGTAATGTCGTGTCAAATGTGTGGATGATAAGGTAATGTCATCTAAATGGTTGTATGATAAAAATAATGTCATCTAAATAGGTGCATGATAAAATAATGTCATCTAAATGGTTGTATGAAAAAAATAATGTCCTCTAAATGGGTGTATGATGAAATGATGTCATCTAAATGGATGTATGATAAAATAATGTCATCTTAGTGGGAAATTGAACAATTCCCTTTATAGGGATAGTAAAAACATGATTGACAAAATAAGATATGCCAGATTTTTAAATGTTCATTTAAAAAAAAAAAAATTACGATTTGATGTCGATATTTTAATTGAAAAAAAAATTGTTATTGTTTTCACTTAATTGTTAAAACATATTTGTTTATTTATATGTATTAAATTATATTCATGTATCCATTCTGTTACGGCGTCTTGCCTCTCTCTCTCTCTCTCTCTGATATTGCCTCCCTTGTAAATCCCCCAACTCAAAAAGCTTTAATTTATATTGCTAAATGTTTCGCAGTACATTTCTGCTCCTGATCACGTCTGTCTTTTATTCTTATTCCCCCGCTCTCGTATTTCACTTTCCCCTCATCGAACTGTCAATAAAACCAACTTTTTAACGTTATTTATTTATTCGCTAACATGTTTCTAATGTCGTAATGCTGTATTATTTATTTATATATTTATTTCATGGAACTGTATTGCTATTCAAATCGCTACACTTTGTATTATTTTTTTTATTATCCTGTTTTAAAACCTCAACGAACGATCGCGCAGACTGGCGGGAAATCCCCCAAAGAGGTGTGGTCGGAAAGGGTTAACAATATTTCAGTTGCTGGAGCCTAGCGAATACCATTGTCAGTGACTTGTTAGGGGGCCGACAGTTTCGTATTGTGGGAATCAATAATTAGATCCGTCGAAATAAAAAAGAGTTCATGTGTTAGGGGATTTTGGTGGGGGGTGAGGTGTGGGACCGCTATCTGGAACATTGGGTGGGCTGAGTTGTGGGACCGCTATCTGGAGCACTGGGTGGGCTGAGGTGTGGGCCCGCTATCTGGAGCACTGGGTGGGGGTGAGGTGTGGGACCGCTATCTGGAACACTGGGTGGGCTGAGGTGTGAGCCCGCTATCTGGAGCACTGGGTGGGCTGAGGTGTGGCCCCGCTATCTGGAGCACTGGGTGGGGCTGAGGTGTGGGACCACTATCTGGAGCACTGGGTGGGGGTGAGGTGCGGGCCCGCTATCTGGAACACTGGGTGGGCCGCGGAGTGGGCCCGCTATCTGCAGATCTCTTTCTCTGTCTCTAACAAATGTTGGGGACGTCGTCACTGCATGACACGGCTTTAATCAAATACTGTTTGTTGTTAACCCTTGACCTTTTAACCTAGGTGACGTTACGTTCACTTCACAGTCACATTGGCTCTAATATTAGTTTTCTTGTGTTACTGTCGCTGTTACAACATGACATTTCTCCATACGCAATGTTATTTTCACAGCATTTTCCTTTCATGAATATCATCTAACACAGTGGTGCTGAATTAAGGCAGTGGGAATCTGTTATTGGCAAATACATATTTTAAAAAACGCAATTAAACACAGTTAGTTATTGACCACTTAGCTTGTTTTGTTGTTTTTTTTACAATTTAGGTTACCGTGACGTCGTATCTTAAATGCTAAAACACTGTTGGTTTGATGCTACCATCCTTTCCAGAAATTATTAAAATATATATATATATATATATATATATATGTATATAT